TGTTGTAAACAAGGCTAATGACTTACAGGCCCAAATTTAGTAGGCGTGTTGTCAAGGGAAATGATTCAGCCCTCTATTCAGCACTGGTGAGGTGTCGCATCTGGAGTACTGTGTCCAGTTTTGGGCCTGCCACTACAGAAAGGATGTGGACAAATTAGAGAGAGCAATAAAAATGGTTAGGGGGGCAGTGGCACATGACTTCTGGGGAGAGGCTGAGGGTACTGAGCTAATTTAGTCTGGAGAAGAGAAGACTGAGGGGGGATTTGATAGCAGATTCTAACCATCTGAAGGGTGGTTCCAAAGAGGATGGAGCTAAATTGTTCTCAGTGGTGGCAGATGACAGAACAAGGAGCAATGGTCTTCAGTTACAGCAAGGGAAGTTTAGGTTACATATTAGAAAAAAAAACTTTCTCCCTAGGAACTGGTTACCCAGGGAGGTTGTATAATCTCCATCCATGGAGGATCCAGCTAGACACAACCTTGGCTGGGATGATGCAGTTGGGGATGGTCCTTTGAGCAGGGGGTTGGACTAGATGATATCCTGAGGTCCCTTCCAACCTAATTTTCTATGATTTTGTGATTGTTGTGGACATAGCAAACAAAGGCCATCATTAAATAAACAGTACGCTAAGCAGGCAACTGAAAGCAACATCTAGCTGTTCTCCCCAAAGAAATCAGGAACAGCAAATGAATTCCAGTGGGTCAACAGAATTTATTGAAGTAAGGAACTTGTAACTTAAACCAACATCTACAATCATCTCCCAACTTGTTACAACTGCTACACCAATATAGTTCATGGCTTGAGCAAATGAGAAAGGTGACACAGCGGAAGTTGCTGCTTGACTCTTCCCTATTATAGAGTAGTCCAGTGTGCAAGTGTTCTAGCAAGAGAAATGCTGTCAAAGGGAAGATGGTTCTCCTGGGTGAGACATATTTCCTCCAAGAGAAACTGAATGCACTGGCAATTTCGACCAGGAGAGCAGTGATTCTTCCACTCAGAAAAGTGGTTGTTTATGGCCTGGTACTTGCTGAACAAGTAGACTGGGCCTGAGATAAATGGCCTGAGGAGTAGAGACCAAGACTAGGTAGATGAAGAAAATGGGACTTGGGATGGGGAGCCAAGGTTGGAAGAGACTGAATGAGGCTGAGAAAGAGACTGAGAAGATTGTTTGGCAGGCCTTTGAAGGATCTATTTTCAATCAACAGCTTTTAAGAATGGCAGGCTGATGCCTCCAACTCAGCCACCACTGCAGGCCACCAATCCATTCTGCATCATCCCCTTCTGCGGTGCCCCATCCCTCCCTGCTTTGTGCTGAGGACTGCTCTTGTGCCCCCTAATGCAACTTCCTTTTACCCTCATCACCAAGTGCTGCTAGTTCTCATCACGCGTGGCAATGGGGAACACCAAATTTGACAGTGAAGGTAAGTGAAGTAGGATGAGAAAGGACCCCTCGGCACAAAGCAAGGAGGGCTGAGGCATCAGCAGGCAGCTTAGGCACTGTAGAGGGGATTGATGGCCTACTGTAGAGGGGATTGATGGCCTACAGCAGAGGAAGGGAGGGCTGGCCATGGGTTGCCAACTCCTGACAGATCATTTGGGGAACACTGAAACTGTCAGAGGGGTTCCATTTATTAAAGGAGCTTTTTAAATTTATTTTTTACTTCAAGTTATGAACTTGCCTGCACATTCTCAGAAAATTAATTCTGTAGCCAAGTTCTCTAAGTGTGGGAGTTTTCAGTTGTAAACTCAGCATAAAGTGTGGTTGAGTTGTGCAGTCCATAACAGTTGTATTCGCATTCTTATTTGGCCGTTTCAAAACTCCTGATTTTTTTTTTTCTCCTTTCTCTGTTGTCTTTTTAATAGGATTCACCAAAAGCTCAGCTACGTCGAACAATTGAGTGCTGTCGGACTGACTTCTGCAATCAAGATTTACAGCCCACCCTACCACCTTATAAGCCAGGTATATTGCACGTGTTATCACACTGTAACACCCTGACAACTGGGGCAATGTAAAGAGAATAGGTAGAAGTGGAATGCAATGCCATAGACTATTCCTTTCTTATCTTTCTTCATGTGTTTGTAACATCCATCCTAAATCTTATTTTGAATATGTTAATCCCAGTCTCTGTCTGAACTTCTCAAATATTTTTTCCTATTTGGTATTCTCCATTTCAGATTTTCTTCTCCCATCAATCATCATTTTTATTTTTTTCTGCATTATCCATTCCTTGTCTGCTTTTACCTGTCACCTCATGGCCATTGACTGTTTTTACAAGGGTCTTGGTTCTCTCCCCTTAACTATCTGCTTCTTATCTTCTTACTGTCTGCTAATAATGTTGTGATGTTAAGGGTCTCTGAAAGAAGTGTGATGGCCTGTCTGTCTTTCTTTCTTTCTTTCTTTCTTTCTTTCTTTCTTTCCTGTAAGTTAATTCTCCCTCTCCTCTGTCGTACTCTGTTCCTTTCTAGCTGAAGTATTATATGCAGTTTAACAAAGAAACAAGCACCTTTTCCCTTCAACTCTGTTCTTTCCAGTATTAGTCCCTGGAAGGGACCTCAATAGATCATCGAGTCCGATCCCCTGCCTAGGCAGGACAGAGTGCTGGGGTCGGATAACCCCACCCAGTTGCCTATCCAGCCTTCTCTTAAAGAGTACCACCTAGTTATTCCTGATGTCCAGCCTAAATCTGCTGTCTGTTGGTTTGTGACCGTTGTTCCTTGTTACCCCAAGAGGCGCCCTGGTGAATAGAGCCTCTCCGATCCTTTGCTGTGCCCCCTAATGTATTTGTAGGTGGCCACAAGATCACTTCTCAGCCTTCTCTTGCAGAGGCTGAAGGCGTCCAGGTCCCTCAGTCTCTCCTCATAGGGCTTGTCCTGTAAGCCCCTAACCATTCAAGTGGCCCTTCTCTGGACCCTCTCGAGTCTATCAACATCCATGTTGAAGTACAGCACCCAGAACTAGATGCAGTACTCCAACTGCAGTCTCACCAATGCTGCATAGAGGGGAAATATCACCCCTTTGGTTCTGTTTGTCAAAACAGCTTTTGAGAAATTAGGCTTGACATCCAGGATTCTGGAAATATCGCTGACATACAAGAAAAGGAAATGGAAAAGGATCTGGGAGTCATTATTGATTCCAAGATGAAAATGAGTCGGCAATGTGGGGAGGCGGCTAGGAAGGCCAACTGCACCTTGTCGTGCATCCACAGATGCATCTCAAGCAGGTCCAAGGAGGTGATCCTCCCCCTCTATGC